CTCCTGCTTCCTCAGAAATGCAAGGGTCGTGGATGCAGGGGAGAGAATCACAGAGGCATCAGATAGTTACAGGTCTGTCTTTATTCTGGGGGACCAAAGATTTTCAGGCTTCATCTTTGCCATTTTCCGAAAGGACTTTGATATATCATGGTTTATGCAACAGATTTTGCTTGCAACTTACTCCGATTGCTAAATAATTACAGAAGTGTATGTAGCAGTGCAGATTTTCCCCGTACATGAGATCGTTCTCACCAAGTGCCAAATGCATCTTGAAAGGCTTTTTGTAGGCTTCTGCTGAATAGGCACACTTGTGAATGCGCACTTTGCTCCAGTATGCCAGGGTGCTGCCAGCTGCTAATTACCCTCCTCGTAACTGCTGGTGACACGGCCATATAGCAGGCTGGAGTAGAGAGGCAGGATACCCCGTTTACCTGGAAATCAATTAGCTAGTGCAGTAGCAGTACCCAGCAACAAAGTCTACAACCTAATTTACTCAGGTAGCTTCTTTTTGACAATAATGGGCTAAAATTCCCTGCTCAGTTGGGAAAAATGGCAAAAACCACCCCACTTTGGAGTCAGAGTCTCATGAAAAAGAAAAAAGAAAAAGAAAAATGTGTGCAAAGTAATTATGAAAACCTCTATGTAAAAAATAGAGGCTACTCTACCTGTACAGATCTCCCAGAAGATGACCGTGCCAAGAAAACAAAAAGCAGCCTTCTTGGAATGAAATAAAATATTTTTCTGAACATCTCTTGCCAGAAAGGAAAGAACAAATAAATCTGTGCCACCTTAGTGGAAGGAGGCAGGGATGCCAAGACTCAAGAGAACTCCCTGCTGCTCATCAGGTGTTCGAGCTAAACATTTGCAAAGGAAGTTTTGACTTTCTTTACTAAAAATAAATTCCTCCTTGTGCGTGAGGTTTATTTTGTAGACTTCCATAATGTCTTTTCTGAACTATTTTATGGGAGTTTTATGAGCTAACAGCTTTTAAGGAGGTTTCTTCAAACTCTAGGGAAATAAAGGCACAGCTCAGGAATTCCGAGACCTCCTGAATTAGGACTTCAAGGGGGAGGTTTTGCTTGCTTCCTTTATTAATAGAAATTGAAAACAACTCTTTTTTTTTTTGCTCATTTAAAGTGAAACATGGGTCTCCTGTTCTAAAACAAGAACAGCCTCACTCAATTGCTGAGTATCACATCACTGTGTGAATTGCAATCCAAGCTGGGTACAGATACATTAATGCACTTAGCGCATGAAAAGCTACGTCTGGTTAGCAGGGGACTGGTGCAAGCCCTACTGACATGCTGCCTAACGGGAGCTCCAAAGCAAAATGATTCCCACACACCTTTTGGGTTGGGTGTTTTGTTTGTTTCTTTGGGGTTTTTTACTATTTATATTATGCTTGAGTCAAAAAGAAGCCAGTCCTTATTGCCCTGACATGGGTACCACCAAAACTGATGGAGAAGAACCTGCTTAGAGGCCACCCCCATCTTTGGGAGGAAAATAACTGGGCAAAAATAGAAGTGCCGGTGCTAGCCAGGAGGTGGCAGAGGAGCCAGGCCACCTTGTGCACTGGTTTCTGTGCTAATTTGGCAAAAACGCAAATACAAACCAAAGCAAAACAACAAAGCCCAGCCCCACCCTCCCCTTGCAAGAATAAGAGGATGAAACCCTTAATCATTTTCCTGCTTGTATTTATACTAATTGCTCGTCTTCCTGAGATCTGACTTTATGAAATTATGCATGCACACCAAGCAGATGAGTTTCCATAGAAACTCAGGAACTGAACTTTCATTAGAAAAATCTTTTAAAAAAATATCTTCCAGATAAAAATGCAAATTGCCTGTCAGTGGGTGGCTTTCTGAATTTATATATAATTTTTTTCTTTTGCACTGTAGGCAGATTCCAGCTGGACCTACATAGCAACAACATGCAGGCATTGTTTATAGCAAGCCAGACTCCATGGGGAAATGAGAAATTCAGTAGCAAAGAGAAGCTCTCAAGTGCAAATACCTCAGGGAAACAAAAAACTGAAGTGCTCAGTGCTGCGTGTTAGTGAGGCTTGGAGATTGTGCAGCCTCCAGCTCTCAGAAAATGCTGGTGGCTCGCAAGGAGCAGCGGGGAGGGAAGGGGAGAGAGGAAACCCAAATGAAGAAACTCTCCTGCAACCAGAATTAATGATGTTCAGCCTGCCCTTTAAACACCTAGCAGCATATTTCTGCCGGTTCAGCTCGGCCTTACTGGAAGGACTGACACCATCTGCTGTTGGCTCACTGTGGGCGAAGGAGTGGATCGAAGTCCTGGGGTTTGGGAACATTTGTGGGCTGGGCTGGGTGGCCACAGCCTGGCTTCTTGGGCTGAGGCCCGATGCCCAGCTTCTGTTGCCCACCCCAAATGGAAATGGAGGCAAGAAGGCAGCCGTGGGGCTGTTTGTGGTGGCAACAAGATGGGAGGAGGACTGAGGGCACACCTGGCAAGGGCATGGACCTGGGCAGCCTTTGGCACAACCAGTAGTGTGTCAGCGAGGGGGTGGATATTGAGCTCCTATACCTGGGGAGCCGCAGAGGGAAGGAGCCACGCCAGCCTCTGCTCCTTGACCACAGCCGAGGGTGCTGGGGCACACCAGGGCTCTGTGCCGCACAAGCGCCGCCGGGGTTTTACGAGGAGGTGGATTTCACTTCAGCATTGTTGAGAGGCACGAGATGTCAGCCGGGAAGGGAATTCCCCTCCGTCTTGGAGAGGGATGACAGGCAGCAGCTGCATGGCCGGTGCGCCTCGCTCGGGGCCAGCGGCCCTCCGGGAGCACGGGGCGGCTGCGGCAGGGCGAGGGTGGCGCTGGGTCCCCGGCCAGCAGGGAGCAGAAGTGGCTCCGCTGGGTCAGCGCAACAGGAAGAGTTTTTAGGAAGAGTGGTTTTGTGGTCGAGGATGAACACGAGCTGAGATCGCTGCCGTCTATTCTTGGCTCTGCAGCAGACTTACTATGGCCACACTACTTGCCCTTTCTGAACCTCATTATCCTTGTCAAGCGGGTGACTCAAATTATAATTGCACAAATTCCTTCCAGTCAGTCAGGACGTGCCGGAGGCCGTTTCCAGGCAGCTACCTCCGGGGAACCGGGCTGTCCCACCAGACCACCTCTGTTCCACCTGTGTCTGCTCGCAAGGGGATTTGGCCCTGGGGCCCTACCATTTTCCAGCAGAGAGAGGAACCTAAAGGAAAAACATCCCCACTGAACCTCTGAATGATGAGATTTGATACTCAGTTGACCATTCAGGTCAAAGTTACGTGCAAGAGGCAGCGAAAGTTTACACGGTACTGCCTATATTTGACTAAATGTGTGTTTCTTAATTCCTCTCTCTGGCGAAGTAGTGGTTTTCTGTCAGTATTTGTAATATCACTGTCTTGCATGTGTTACTCATGCTGATGTACCCTGCATCTCTTGGTATTTTTGGAAGAGCAAAGAAAACAAGACGAACGATCTTCATCAATTCCAAAAGTATCAACGTTTTTTCATTAGAAATTTAATTTGGGTTGTAGTTGCAAGAGTTTTTGGGTTTCTTACATCTTTTGATATCAGCTGAAGGCAACTAGACCCACTGAAGGCAGAAGTAATGCTTCCCTTCATCTATACGACTGCTTCCACGTACTGTCTCCTATCGGGAAACGCATGAAGTCAGGCAGTCCTCTCCCTTTACAACATTTCCACATGTCCACAAAATCAAATTGTGGTATTTTCTTGGTAAAAGATTTCCAATCCATGGCATTTCATTACTGGGCTGCTATTACATGTGGCGCTGTAAAACTGAATTCCATCACTGGGGCTGTTCTGATGTGGAAACCTTTGAGCTGATGAACTCCTTGGCTGAGGAATCGATGGCAGGAGCTCATCTATACACTGTAGTCCCTCACCCAACATGGGGAAGGACTGTTGTTTTTTCTGCAGAGGACAGGGACAACTTAGATGTGAGCTCTTGCTTTGTAGGAACTTGACCCTAAGAGCATAAACCTTACAAATTTTGAGGCATCTGCTGCTTGCACCGTGGTGGTTGCTTTGGCAAGGTAGCATGGACTCTGCTGGGCCATCCCTCACGCTGTAGGACGAGGCCTTTAAGCTCATCCTCACAGAGAGGCCACCTCATAGCGGTGGTGGCATCTCTGAGGTTTGGTGCAGCAGCATACGAACATACTGAGCACTTGGCAGGCAACGTGGAGGTGTTGGCAGCATCTCCCACAGGCCACATCTGGATGGAGCTGGCGAGGCCTCCATCCTGGTGTGAGCACTGTGAGGAAGAAGCAAGAAAATGCCACTAATACGCTGTGGTATCCAAAGCCAGCGTGACCACCTGTGCTCAGCGAGGTTGGGGGCTGTATAATTAAAAGGGAGCCCGGCTCGTTAGATGCTTTGTGGGTTCAGAGGCATCTTCGCCAGCCCTATAGGAAAACATGTTCTTCCTAGCACTTCTTTCATCCTCCCCCTCCTGTTCCTTCCAGATGGTTACACCCACTTGTGTCTTTTCTTACCCTAAGGACAGCTTTTTAACAAGGTTCCTCTATCCTTCTCCCCCACACTGCCTTAGGCTCTACAGCGGACAGAGGGGCCCCAATGCCGTTATGACCAGCATGGCCCTGGAAAGGGGCCTCATCCCTCTAGTCCGTTTGTCAAGAGGAAAGGTCTTTCTGTATGGTCAAGGTGTTGGAGCTGAGGGACTTCGCCTCAGCCTCAGCTGGGTTTTGCAGACATGCAGGTGTTAATTCAGCTACTCGGTCTGCTTAATCTTCGCAGCTGTTGTTTTAAATTACAGAATCAAAAGGATCGCAACCAGAAAAAGCAGAGATTAAAGGCTGATCACTCCTCTTCTCCAGAAGCAGGGAGGGGGGATCCCCTGCATAAGGCTACTGCGCCTGCACGCTTAGGTCTGCCCAGCCTGCTGGGAGCTTGGGCTCGCCTTTTTCTGCCGCCTGTTGCCCCCGCTAACTGCTCCTCCCTTGTTTGTTGGCAGGGCCTGGTGCTCAACAGGCTTGGGCGGAGGGAGCTGGCCCAGAAGGTCCTCAGAGACGCCATCCAGATCCAGAACACCAGCCACCAGGCCTGGAACAGCCTCGGGGAGGTCCTGCAAGCTCAGGGGAAAAATGAAGCAGCCATCGAATGCTTCCTCACCGCTCTGGACCTCGAATCCAGCAGTCCTGTCATCCCCTTCACTGTCATACCCAGGGAGCTCTGAGGCTTCTTCATTCCATGGACAGACACCAACAGACAGACAAAAAGACATACAGCGAAGAAACTGGATTTAACACAAAAGTGCCATTGTAACCCGGAATTGGGCAAAATAATTCCAGGATGGGGCTCAGGTCTACATGCTTAGCTGAGATGAGTCTAACTGTAGAGGAATTTGCAACAGGCAGAGAAAGAGAATGCCTTTTTTCTTCACAGATGCCTGGTTAACCCCCTGTTCAAGTTAATAGAAAGACTTATTTCAAAGTGTTGGTTCAAGGTGACTGTCTGTAGAATAGGTTGTGCTGGAGTACAATCTATTTCAAATCTAGTTCAAAGCACTTGCACCTTTTAGCTTTTATTAAGGATGAAAACCCCAAATCCAAAGATAAAACCCCCAAACCCTGAGTTAAAGCCCAGACCAGCTCTAAACAGGAGTAAATGCCCCAACTAATGTACCAAGTTGTATTTAAGCACCTAGCTGCCTCCACACAGATCTGACAGCATAGGAATGGCAATTATACCATATAGATGTGCAGTATATGCCATTTACAAAATTATTTCAGCTATTCTAATAATCCTTTTTCTTAGCCTTGCTCTTATATACTGCATATACACACTATATTTAGTGTGGCATTTGCCTAGACCAGTTTAAATTAAAAATAGTTTTTATTTTTAAGCTGCTATTGTAGTGTGATTCACAAAAGCAGAAAGACCAAAGACCCAATCAGTTCACACTTGGCCTAGCATTAAAAGCATCTATGTATCTCCAGTTACATATTACTGAAAGGCCTTTCTTGCAGTAGCTAATTATGAACTCTGAGCTTCATTCTCGTTAATCACCCATTCCCTCACTTCCAGTGAGGAACGAAGCGATTACCAGCAGATAGTGACTGAGCTCTGTGCTTGACTGCGGTGCTGTTCCCGGCACCAAACCCGTTCATGTCTGTCTGGTCGTGGCCTAAAAGACAGCAGCATTCTGCTAAGGGAAAGCGAGCTGAAAGCAGCACGCACATGTAAGAATTGCTTTTCTTTGAAAACTAAATCCTGGGATTTTCTGCAGACATCTCACGTCAGAGGTAGGGGCTGCGCCTGCAGCGGAGCGGGCTCTTGTTGTGCATCGCTTCAGATGTGAGCGTGATCCCCGCAGCCGTCCGAAGAGCTCCTAATCCCCTGCCCTCCCGCTGGCTGGCCGGGGTGGGGAGGCAGCTGCCGGACCCCACGCTAAGCCGATCCTCACCTGGCTCTGCGTGACTTGCCCGCAGCCCCTGCAGCCAGCTGGAGCTGTAACGGGCTGCCAGCCCCGGCCGCGGCGCTCCCAAGGCAAAAGGGATGCAAAAATGAGCCGCGGGCGCTTTCCTACACATAAAGTTAGGGCCACGTGCCCGTTCCTGACCAAAGAAGGCTTGTGCCTGCTCCACGAGTGGGTTTGCACTGAAACACACAGTGTACGATGGCTGTGCCCAGTATTGCAGTCTGCAGCTAGCTCCTTCCAGAAATCCTAACATCCTCAGGCAGTAAATGAATCGGGGTTATTCCTGCAAGACCCCGAGGCACTGGAGCAGTCTTGAAGTCAGCATTGTTTACACTTGGTTGGAGACCTGCAGGCTAGCGGAGACCTCCTGGGCCGTGCCTGTGCTTTTGCTCCTGCCCTGGCCTCCTCTGGAGGCACCCACGCCCAGGCAACAGGCTACACCAAGCTCTCCACGCAGCCTGTTGCACGCCCAAGCCGATTTTTGGGGTGACACCAGACTGGTGCAAGAGCCCAGCATATTCCTCTGCTCACCCAGGTGCTGGGAGGAGGGAAAGCAACGCAGAAAGCACTCAGCCCATCAGGTCTCCAGCTTCTCCGTGGCACACAGGCCCCAGCCGAGGCTCCTCAGGCCAGAGGCAGGTTTCCACCAAGACGAGCCTTCTGTCTAAGACACAGAAGAGTCCCTGTGGTCTGACATCTCCGCCTTCCTCTGCAGCATCTGCCTGCAGGGCACTGCCATGGTAACCCCCGTGAACCAGACAGCTCTTCGAGTCCAAGCCGTGCCTCAGTCCCTGCGACTGCTCTGGCAATCTCTGTGCTAAGAGGTCAGTAACAGCAGACAAGCAGCTGCTCGCAGACCTCGTGTGCAGGTGCTTTGTGTCCATCAGCCAGCCAGGTGCTGGCCCTGCAGCTGCTTCGTGCCCCTGGGGGTGGCACTGGCACTGGAATCGCAGCCCTGAGGTGCTCTGCTGCCAGAAGATGCAGCTCCCGTCAGCATCAAGAGGGGTTACACAGGTGAGGCATCTCCACACCACAGCCCCGACACCAGCTGCAGACACAGCTCTGCCTCAGCGATGGATTTGGACTCGGCCCCAGGATTTGCAGGGCACAAAGCACGTTCGCTGGAACAGTGCATTTCTGTAAGGTTGCCGGTACATTTCTGTGTTTTCTTCCTAATACCTTGAGGTCTAGAGACTGAGGTTATACTGCCCTAAAATGCACAGGGCAGGGAGGAGGCGGTGTTTACAGACTTGCAAGTATTTCGGGGGTAGATCCTCCATCCGCACTCGTTCTTAAGCATGGATTTTTTTACTTTCAGGTACAGATAAACAAAAACAAAGACTACAAACATGCCTATGCATTCTAGTATTTATTTAGATACCAACACTGATAAATCTAATAGACCCACTCCTCTGAGCTGATTAAGTAATACTCCTTTGCATAGCAGGAAGCCCGGCATGCTTAATGCTTAGGGTTTTAGACTAAGCACATGAGATTTATATCCCATCCCTTGTATGAATATTACAGATTATTATAATTAATGGAAGTTTGGGGAATAATAAGGGAAGTACTGATTCTGGAGTCTTAGTGCTGACTTGAGTCCAACAGTTTTCTCATCAATTTAGAAAGAAAAGGGGAAAAAATAGCATCATTGTCTGAAGGATCGAGGTGCGGCCCGGTTCCCTTCATTCCACCACAGGGTTATTTTCCTTTGAGTCAGCAGGGAAAAGATAAAAAACGGCAAAAGGAAACTACCTAGCTCTTATTTTTCTGCTGCACAGTGAAGGAGCAATATTTGCCATTGCCTTTAACCAGCCAGGTTTGCACGTGGTACCAACAGTCAGTCGGCCTGCAGGTGAACAGAGAAGCCCAGCAGCCAAGGGGTGACCCCACTCCCTGCCTTAGCCTGTGTAAGCTGGCGTCCCCTCCGCGGATGCTGGTATTTATGAGCGTGCTGGTATTTATGAGCATTTCCTTCAGCTGAGGCTGTGCCCACCGGAGTCCTCGCTCCGTCCAGAGGACAGGCGGGGCGCTGTGCCCAGAGCAGAGCTGCCGTGCTCCTGCGCTGCACCAGCACCCCAGCCCGTTTCTATGGGTAACAGTTCCTGCTACTGATTATCACAATGTTTCAGAAGTGCTAATTATCTTTTCTTGGTAATGACTAATAAATCCAAGTGGAGAACAGTCCTGGAGGGTGTTTGCTTTAAAATTCGCTGGCTGAGAACCAAGGTAGGCACAGCACTGGCTGCTGCGGTGTGAATTGCAGTTATCCCCCCGAAGCCCCATTTTTTACCAGTCTCAGTGAAGCCAGAGTTTGACTCCTTTATATTTCACTTTAATGACAACGGAGCGGGAAACAGCCGTCAGTGAAAACAGACCAGTGCCGTGATCTTTTTTCAGCCAAACCAACCGAGATTCGAGAGTTGCAATTCGGCCCAGGAAAGCAAGGCTCCCCAGAGCAGGCTCGGCGCAGCGATAATTGCCTGGGACTGCTCTGTGTTACAGGCACGTTCGGCAGTCATTCAAGGAGTGTGTGTGTGGCTGGGACTCCTCTCCCCCCCACAGGCCCTGTGTGTGGCAGAGGAGAGCTGCTCCGTGCCCAGAGGGACAGCTGCAGTGCCGGCCAGGTGCCCTGGGCGCTCTCCCACCCTTCCAGCTCTTATCCCGGCCTGGCCACTGGGTCTTAAGAGACCCAGCTCATCCTCCCCCCAGAAAGACGTGCCAGTCTGTAGCTAACACCGCCAAAAGGGACCACGGCACCACACGGCTGCAGAGCAGAGCGTGCACCTCCAGCTTTGGCACCGGGGCGCGTTTCACACCCGGCAGTGCCGCCCAGACGCTGTTAACGCGGTTGTTGCGGTCGTTTTTCCATGTAACTTAACATTTCTTCTCATTGGGAGATGTTTTCGGCAGATGAATAAAATTGACCCTGTGGAAAAAAAAAAAATGCTCCTCATGCATAGTTATTTCCTGCCATTTTCAGTGCTTTTAATATATTCATGCCACAGATACTTGAGGCATTATGAAACAACTAACTAACTGGAACCCAGTGTGCCTAGCAAGTTACCAGTTGCAAAGGGCATTTGGGCCTACACCCTGCAGTTCATGGGAAAAACGGGAGTGAGCATGCAAGCAGCGTGCCCTCGGAGAGGAAGAGAGCCAGGAAAAAGGAGCAGTGTAGCTTCAGATGTTTGGGTTCATGCAGATTTAAGCGAGCATCGTGCTTTTCTTGTGCTTCTTCCAGTAAAAATAAAGGTAGTGTGAGAAACTAACATCAAGGTCATATGCAAATACTAAGTCATCTTGTTTAGGGACTCACCTTATTTTGGCCACGATGCCATTAATCATCTCTTTATTTTTTTTCTACAATCAGTTTAATCCCATGGCCATTTGGAAATAGCTATCTCCATTCAAGAGCTTCCAGAGCATTCTTTGCATTTACACGTTAATCTTCTGGGCAAGCTTCAAAAGGGCCTTAAAAAAAGCCAGACCCTTAGTGTCCTGCTCAGATTAAGGGAAGGGTTTTTGAAGAGCAGTTCTTCCTAGCTGGCTGCTCGGGTTATGCCTGCATTCAGCACAGCTCGAGCAGGACAGGGTTCCTCTAAGTCCTTCAATGGTTACAGCAAAGCCTTAAAAGCTGGAAATGGAAGCAAACACCAGCTCTGGCTTTTTCCCCTCTTTCCTATATGGAGAAAGGAAGCAAACCAATGGCTGGGGTGTCCGTGGGGGCAGGGGGAGGAACCCAAACTGGACCTGAAGAATTGGGTTGTTCAGTCCCCACTTAGGGGCAACTCGCAAAGAAAATAGGCTTGGCTACTCGTCCTCGATTTCAACTTCACTGGAGTGCATGGCAAGTTGGCCTTGCTGCATCACACAGGTGCTTGATATTCCCTTTGTTTAAATGGGCAGAAATAAGCATTTCCCCCCGACAGATTTGCTCCAGGTGGTTTGGGCACTCCCATGTGCATGGGCTCCTTCCCATGCTGGAGAAGGCAGTTGCACTTTGGTAGCAATTGAACATGGTACTCTTGAAAGAGTATCTTTTAAGAACATCTTTTAATAACCTAATCACACCTCTGCTTCTGTCTTTCTGCTGCTGAATGGGGAAAACTCACTCCGATATCTGTGCCAAATTCCTGCCTGGTGTGAAGCCTGGATGTTTAGCAGTCCCGTGAGCAGTGAGGGAAGAAACGGGAAGCGTCCCCGCAACCCAGATGCTGTTTTGCACTCCTGTCTCTGGCTGTCAGGTTTTCGTGGAGCCAGGAAAGCAGCAATGTTGACTCTGTCTTCAGCCACATCCCTCAGGAGGTGTCACCAAAAAATGCACATAACCCACTGATCTGTAAAGACTGGAGTTAGAGGAAGTAGCAGTAGCTATCACCAGTTTATGCAGTTGCCATCTGCAGCCACAAAAGCATTTCACTTAGCTCTGGCTGTCAAACCAATCTCCTCTGCAGTCATTGTCTCTAAAACAAAGAGCTGCATCTCCCAGCCAAAAGTGTCCCCACAGGTCCACCGGCCGAAGGGCAAGACCCAAAGGCTTTCTCAGTGCTCCAAGGTAGGAAAGTGTTGAATCACGGAGGGAAAACCCCTGCAGGTCATTCCCCTGAGTGTGCCGAGCTGCCAGTCTCAGCTCGGATCCCATTCAAAGCTGATGCAGCTGCTGGGCAGACCGGCCTGGCCATGCAGATGGGACAGATGTTGGTTTTACACAGCAGTAACGTGTCCTGAAGCAGCAGAAGAGGAATCACTATGTTGTAAAGTAAAGGGCATTTTCCTTACTAAAAAGCTCTCACAGAGGCAAAGCCCAGCTTTACCAGCACTTCTGACAGAAACACGCAAAAACAGACTGCAGAGCAGCCCCTTGACATCCTCCTGACTGCACAGGCGGCTCTGAACCTTAATCCTTCCCCCACCCCACCCCACACCGCAGCTGGGGAGCCAAATGCATCGTGACAGCCCCGGGACCACGCTGCCACAGCACGCCCGCGGCGATGCCAGGCCCGCAGCCCGCCCTCATTGACTTTCAAAGGGCAGCGGAGTCCTTGAAGCAAAAGATCCATTACATTATGTATGGCAAGTCAGACATCTTTTTTATAATGCAGCTGCTCACAATATCATAATTAGGTCTGGAAACTGGCATGTTCATAAATTAATCAGTAACAAGCAGTCCTGTATTTCGCTGCCCTGTGAGAGAGGCCAGCGTACGCCGCCTGAATGCGCAGTGCCGGGAGCTGCTTCAGAAGGACGGGAGTTCAAGGCCGTGGTGATTTTCTGGGCAGCACAGGTTCGGGGTGTTTTTGTGGCCGGTGTAAGTGGCATTGTCCGGCAGGCACGGTTAGCAAATGGACCGCTGCCTCACGGGATGTGCGGCCTTGGATCCCCTCCTCCTGGGCTGGCAGCAAGCAGAAATTGGAGTCAGTATCTCAGGTTTCCGAAACGGGAAGCTGCCAAATCCAGAAAGTAAGCAATTCATTTCCCAGTTACAATAGTGCCGCTCTTATTCCTCCTTGGAGGATACGAAGGGTTTTCCAGAGGGCAGCAGGGAGGTGCCGAATCCCCCTTTGCAGCGGATACAAACCAGGTCTGCTGAGAGCCCGGCCAAGCCAGGGCTGCTTCTCTCTGCAAAACTGGTCAAATTGCTGATTTTGGGGTTTGGCAGGGGAGCTGAGGGAGGACTCAGCCCACAGGTTGCATTAGTGCAGTATTTAAGGCTCCTTGCTCTGTGAATCACCAGGGCAGCACACGTCAGGCACAGGGGGTGCTGCAGCCAGGAGTCACGGGCACCTCGGCACAAGCAGTCCCGGCCTGGACCCTGCCGTGTCGAGGGGCTCACTTACCACAACTGAATCTTTTATTTGACAATTTCTTCTCTTTTCGAACTTCCCATCATCCCCTCTTGGGAACTCGCATAGCACTTTTTGTTCAGACAGCTAAGCGAGTAGTAATAAGCTGAAAGAAAATAATTTGTTTCGAGCTTCATTCCAAAGGAAAACTTTGGAGATTTTCAACTAAATAGAGCTTAAAAAAAAATTCCAATTAAAAAAATATTGTTCTGACAGGAGTCCTCAAGCAGTATCTTCAATAACTCGGATTTATATGACCAGAAGTTTTGAGAGAATTGCCAGAAGGGAGAGCATTTTGAAAGAGAAATTCAAGATGTTTAGTCCTAAAACAATCTACACAGAACATTTAAATTTTCCATTTTGTCTTCCGGCCAAGAACAATTCACCAAAGTTATCTCAAGTTTTTATGCACCTCCAGTTTTCTGGAACTTTGCTTTTCAGCAAATACCAGACTTGAAAAAGGTCCAAAATGTTCTCCAGTCTCACTTCTTGTTCTCCTTTGTGACCAGTGCTGGAGCTCCCGGTGCGAAAGCATCCTGGAGTGCTTCTGCATGGCATTACCAAGCACCACATCAGCCAGCACAGGTTGTTTTCTGGAGGGTAATGAGATGCTGAGTAAACACCAGCACACACTGCTTCATACGTGCCCATGCACACAAGGTGGGGTTGTTCCTGCCATGTAAATACAGACCAATATCAAGTGCTTTTGGAAATCCCATCCATGTACTCATCTGCAATTCAGGCGATGGTGATTTAAGCCTGGCTAGCTCAAACACGTGCCTGGGCACAAAGAGCCACTGCTGTGCAGCCCAGCCCTTGCCTCACTGCTCTCTCAGTGACTACCATTTCTCAAAAGCAGCCTATTTAAGACTTTTTCCACTTTTTGTGCTCCCTAGGAATCTTCCAGCAGATGTCTAGATCTGTAAATGTACGTATGCAGATTTCCGTGTAGGATACGACCTTCCTGGAAAGGACGTGCTTAGGGTGCCTTGCTGGTTGGCCACAGACACCCCCGGGATCTGTAGCTCTCAGCCTGAAGACCAGTGACTTACAAGTTTTCTCCTAGTTCCTATTAGAGCTTCTTAATTAAAAGTCCTCTTCAGGGACCTGAATTGACTTGGAAACCATGGTGATCACTTAGGTCAATCATGCAGAGAGATGATTGCATTTGGGAGGGTGAGGTGGGAGATGGGAAAGTGTGCGTGTGGAAGAGCATTATGAAAAATAAAAACAGAAAACCCAAGCATCTGTAAAAACGAGGAGCATACATGGTTTACAAAAGAGCAGATAGAGGATTCATCTTATAGAACTCACCATTCACTATGGAATTAGGGGCTAAAAGCTCTTTTACACAGCTGAAAAATGTCTTCAACTTACACTGCTCTGAACATTTTAGCAACTGGTTTGACAGTGGCTCCACTTTCTCAAATCCGCGTATGAATATTTTCACTCATGTTGATAACTACGCGAGGAAAACTAAAATGCTAACTAAGCAGCCGTGCGTCCAACTATCCCACATGAAAAAAAAGCACTGTTGCCAACCTACAATGCAAACAGCAATATTCATTAACATACAGTGGGTTCTTCAACTTCCCTGTGCAAAAACTGAAACACAAAGAGTTGCTCAGTAGCTGGCAAGCGCTTTTGCCCAAATCTCGAATTCTGCTGTTATGGTTGAGGAGTATATTTACAATAATGCTGGTAAGATACACAGTTATGTTTTAGCTTCAACGTACAAAGCAGTGTGCTCTAACTCCGGGACAGTGACCTCTGTTTCAAAAATCAGAGCTGATCTGGTTTCACCAGAAGAGCAATTCGAAAATTTGTGTTTTGATGGTTTTTTTTTCTTTCTTATAGGAAGGATGACATGATGCTAGTCTACTTCAGTATCATCTTCTTCTCCCATTCCTCTTATAGAAAAAAAAATAAATAAATCTAAGTAGGTACGATGTATGTTCTTGTAAGCCTCCACCAGGAATAAATAACCTTGCTTCATTTGTCTCTGCAAATTACAGCTTTTGGATCGGGAGCCTTTACAGACTCTACAGTTCAGTTGCTCAGCCCATATGTGAAGCACTTTATATTGCTCTTGAGAAATCTCCTGATCCCGATACGCAGAGTTAACCTGTTGTAACCTCCAGCAATAAATAAGAGCACTCACATAATTCATAGGAGGCTGAAGTCTGTTGATCCACGGCCTCGCTAAATTAGCAGTTTCTTAGAAGCTGCTTTCTTGCAGCAAGTGAAAAGCAGCGCACAGAGATTTGGGGGATTCAGACTGTCCTTTCTTCATCACCTTGGTTCCTCCCCTGCCCCCTCCCAGACCTTCTGCTTACTTCACTGCCAGTGTCCATGATGCCCCCTGTACCCAAGGCTCCTTTCCCCTGCCAGCAAGTACACCACACCGAATTCACAATATCTAGATGTAAAGGACAGAGGATAAAGCAGCAGGTAATGCTGATGTGCAGACGCAGCGAATACTGAGTTTTCCCTACTCACTCCCCAGCTCGCTAGTTGCAATGCTCAGCGATGCTGAGAGCTAGAGCAGGATTCAGGCCCGACACCAGCCAGGTGCCAGCCTTTTCAGGCAGCTCAGGGCGCTGGTTCCATGAGAAGGCTGGAGTTTCAGCCAGGTTAATATTGCGTGTTGGTTCATCTCAGGATGACACAGCTTGTACGATTGGTTTAATTATTCCAGGTAGCCTTCTGCTGAAGTTTTCCCCTCGAGGCCAAAGTTTCGTGCCATTTGTACCAATATCACCTGGAATGTATCAGTGGGAATCAATAACCTTCGCTCTCTGCTAACGTGCTCTGCAGGGTTATAATTACAGCTATCTAAGATAGAAGGGTGATACAGCATCCAGCCTGGAAACAACAACGTTGCTTTGCCAACAAAACTAGAATCAACTCTGTGCCACAGAAGCAACATCAGACCCCACAAATCCCACATACAACGGCTTCAGGAAACATCAATCTGGTCTAGTCCCTGTCAGGATCGCCGTCTACTTTCATTTCCATCAGCATGGCCCTGAAATAAGTCTGCAAACTTAACACCTATTATTTAGCCTTTTTTTTTTTTTTTTTTTTTTTTTTCCCATTGCTTTTGTTTCGCGGTGCCCATGCAAGGCAGCCAGCAGCATGCTGCCAAGTGGGTTACCTGCCCCGACAGACACCTGCAGCCGCTTCTCCCCAGTTTCTGGGGCCAACAAAACCCAATTTCTGCAACAAAACCTGGTTTCTGCTCCCACCAAACAGGAGGGCCATCGATCGCCTTACCTCTGAACGAGTCAGAAGTCAGGTCACCAACACCTCTTGAAATCGCCAGCTGCACAGCCGTTCTCACAAAAATCCCACACAAAGCTTCAGAGATGCTTTGCCACCAAAAATACCTACCCGCTGAGGTCTCCCCACACACAGAGCTTCCTGCAGCAGTGCGTTTCCATGCGGATTCCTCAGCCCTCAGTGTGCTATTCCTGATGCATCCTGTTTTTGACTACTTGCAAAATCACTCCAGTTGCCATATTCCTGCTAGCAGCCTTCCTGACAGAGCCATGTGTACATTGAGCATTGTTTTTCTAACCAAAGCAGTTATTCTGCTATTTTCCCCCATCTCTTTTTGCTGCTAGAGAAATATTTTCCACAGCAAAACATTAGCCACTGAGCCCTGCAGGCAAATCCTGATGAGGATTATGCAGTGAAGCTTTCCACTTGTGATCAACATTTACCCATGGAAACCAAAGCCCTTTATTTCATTTTTTATCTTTTCCTCCTCAAAACGAATTCAGCCCTGCATCGTTTGGTTCTGGTTTCAGAAGTCTTTGCACACAGGAGATAGGGGAAAGCAAACAAGAACTCGCGTCTTGCTTTCTATATAATTAGCGTGTTCAGAGGAAACCTCAATGTTGTAACATTAATTTTCAAATCTGGAGCATGTTTTTAGATAACAGAGCGACATTACCTCAAAGCAAAGCAACAGCATTAATACACATGGTACCAGGAAATCTACAAAGGTTAAGTGATTTTCTGCCGAGTGATTCATTCTGCTAATGAGTTTGCTGCAGACAATGCTCTGTGTGTGCAGTTATTGCATATGTATCTTTAATTTGTGTGTTTGTATAATTCATGGTGGTGCAAAATACATTTCTATGTAAAGTGTCCTAATAGATGAAGTGAGGCTATAATATTCTTCCAGAGCTTGTTCATTACAAGCTGCACTGGCACGGAGTCCAGAGGGAGAGGAAGCCATTAAACATTAAGCAAAACAATTGCTGTCATCCTCCAGAGGGACCAGCTTTGTAAATGCTTATGTGAACACTGTACAAAAGATTGGAGTATTAAGGTAAAATTAGCATGATAAAGGGAGGCAAGCACCCCTTCCTCGGTTTGGTGAGATCTGGCTGGATAGCGATCCATCCCTGGATTTTTGTCCTAAAAGAGCAGAGCTCATCCTCTCCCAGCTGCAGGCTGAGCACCCCTGAGAACCAGTTGTCACTGGCAAGCAGAAAAGACAAAACAAAAAAAAGGTTTCCACTGTTTTCTATCCGCAAAGCTGAAACACTCCCCTGTGTGTGTTTTCAATTTAACTAAAATAGATCACTGTGTGTAAACAGCCACTCTATCCGCATCATTCATATTTGATGCACTAGTCAGTACAAGAGATACTTTTATCCATCCCATAAGTGATGAGAAACCAGACACTTCAGCGTCCTGTGCTCCTCTCGGTTGACACGAGAGGCAGCAGCTGTTATGCTAGGCTCCCTCACACGCAGTGTTTGATACAGGGACAGGAAAATTGGGGATGTAATGAGTGGTGTTGGGTACACCGAAAGTTAACCGCCATGATCAAAGCCTTCCCGGGGAACACACAGGAAAGCTCTTGCAGCCCAAGCATTTATGTTCTTGGGCGTTAAAGGCCATATGATAATTGTATTCTTATCAGGTTAAAAAGTAACTTGGAGAAGAGGCAGGGCACCACCGAGGTGCCTTCATGGGCATCTTGATAGAGGCAGCAAAGTGCAAAGGTAGGACTGAACCCTGCGACCAGAGGTTGTAAAACACTCGCTAAGTGGATGGGCCCGCGCTTCGAATTAGGTTTTGCATATATAAACTCTCGTGCCCATAAGTATGCGAGCAGACATTGAAACCCACGGGGAGCCGAGCAGATAGCCCTACTTCCTGCTGCCTGCAGCTGGCTGCTGTGGGGACAAACACGGCACCCAGGGAACAGCAGGAGAAGGAAGGAGCCCTGCCCTCCCTGGACACATCCACGATCAAAGGGCTCCCGGCGTGGCTCAGATGACGGCTCTGCTGGTGGCGGCAGCGAAACACGAGAAATTCCCTTTAAAAACCAAACTTCATTCACTTGGGGTGGTCAGGCACTGGAGCAGCTTTCCCCAAGAGGCTGTGGGGGGGGGGTTACACGCTTGGAAACAGCCAAAACCCCACGGGACCGTGCTGGAGCAACCTGTGCTGGAAGGGGGCTGGAGCGGGGTGGGTCAGGAGGCCGCGGCCTCATGGAGGGAAAGGCGGCCGCTCCCGCTGGGTCCGCACCAGCAAGGGCGGCTGCGGCCCAGTTTTGGAGCCTCTGCTGTGAGGCGAGAGCTGATGGAAAGCAAGCTGCAGCTCCTCTCTTCTCCTCCGGGGTTTGCGCGGAGGTCATTTTAATATTAAGCCAAAGCTCCAAGAAGCGCCAGACAAACAGCGCCTGTATTTCCAAATAAAGAGTTAGTAGCTACGCGGGTAGAAAACTTTCTCCTCTCATTTTAGCCAGGCCGGTCCCTCCTAACTCCCGGGGGAGCACAGTCATTTCTCGGGCATGCTTTACTCCATGCTGCCGTGAAGCAGCCGGCAGCGTGGGGCCCCCGTCAGCGGGGTCAGGGCGCGGGGCACTGCCCACACAGCCCCCGGCCCTGTGGGGACAGGACTGGGCCCTGCTGCCACCAGGCTCCCTGGTGGGTGCTGTAACTCGCTGGAGTGAAGGTGGGCAGGCCGCTGCTCTCCGTTACTAAGAATACAGTCGCTGGAAACACTACCCCCCGGATCGCTTCGGTGCGCATCACGCTGCCACATATACTTTATGACTCTATTTGCTTCCTATGTGTCAAGTCAGCGCAAAGCCAGCGCTGCTGCCAAGCTCACTCAGCTCGTAGCTCCGGCCTCGCGCACGGAGGAGAAACCAGGAGAGGAGATGACCAGATGGATTTCTGCGAGCCTGCTGCTGAAAGCAGCGGTGCTGCTCGCCCCCTGCCCAGCAGCACTGCTTGGAAGCCCCAAAGACAGACTGTAAGGTGGAGAAAACTGCTCAGGTCTGCACAAGTGAAAACTGGGTGGCCTAAAGCTATGGGGCAGGTGGGAACGCAGAAGCAGGTTTGTTTTTAGATGAAATCCACCCAAGTTGTAGACGTGATCTGTGAAATTTAAGCAACAGAGCCACCGTGGGAAGGCTCCCCTTGGCTTACCAAGGGCATCAGTGACTGGTGGTCACGAGGCGTGTGGGTGACAGGCGTGAGGTGACCTCCTGAGGTGGCCCCTAGCTGCAGGGGCTGCATGGATCACACGCACAGAAGCAGACAGAGGGGTAGCGAGTGATCCCTGCCTGTCATCTCCCTGTGCAAGAGCCTGCCCTGAGCAGTCCTGGGCGGGCGCTGTCCTTTCTGTACCTTATCCCCTGAGGCAGGGAGTGGGGCTGGTTGCTCACCCGACCTGCCTATTCTGCAGCTGGCTGGATGCAAGAGGGGGATATCCCGCAGATTCTTACAATTTGGTGGCGTTTCCAGGCCAACAAAGATTAAAATTCATTTTGAATGCTCTGGACAAACGCAGGACCCTGCTACACACCTCTTCTGAGTGCCCACAGCTCTAAAAATTGAGCATTCAGGGATTTGTATGTATTCCTTATCTGAAACGATTGCCTAGCAACAGACTTTAGCCAAGGACGTGTTTGTGAAACTGCCAGGAACATCCGTATCTGCTAAAGTGCAAAGCAATAAACACACCTCTCCAAATCACCTCTGCTAGGATCACATATGTAGCAGATGATCCGACCGAACAGAAGGTTATCAGCGGTATATGCTCTTGGCGTTTTAGCCATGCTAATAAAAGCGATCTCAGCCTGGGTGAATCAAACCCTTTTCACTGCAGAAAAGGCATCTTTGCATGCCAAGCAGGCTGCCGAGGGACGGGCACCCAGCAGGGCTCGGCGCGCTGCGGCGCTGCGACTGCTCCTCCCAGGCAGGGCCCAGTGGGCCCTGGGTGTTCCCTCACACACCGCTGGGCGTGCTCAGGCTGATGAAGAGCCCTGTGTTGGACAAAAAGCCCACATTATCTTAAACACGACTTCAGATATCATCGCAGGATCTACCAGCCCAGCTGCTCTATCGAGCGGTTAATAGGGCAAAGCTTAGCGCCATTATCATACCTGAACCCGATTGCAGCTGACGGTCCAAGGTTATTCCTCTCAGTTGTGCTGCATGGGAATTTTCCCTTTCCAGCTACCAGGCTGTAATTTCCCCCTCTCGATCAGCCACAATGCAAATGTAACACACATCTGTAGGATAACTGGGCCTGGAAAGACCAGAGAGCGCTTGGGCCCTTCTCACCTCGTTGCATGCTTGATCCCCAATGCTGGCAGCAGTGCTCAGCCAGGGCTGCCCTGCAGAGCGCTCACAGGGGCTAAAATGGGCCCTGTCCTTTGCATGGCTTCTTTCACAAGATGAGAAGAAGCAATGAAATCCACCTTGTCATTGCCTGTGACTGCACTTGGCTCTGCATGGTGCATGCCCCGTCCCCTCTGCATCAGCATTACGGCTGCGTGCGCATGTTTCAGAAGCAGAGGGGAAATTTCCAGGATGCTGAAGCAGGTTGTTGGGCACCGAGCTCTCCCCCTGGTTTCACAGGGATTGCTGGAGTACATTTTACAGTGTTGTGAGTGCATACATTGTCGTGCATGAGGGCATGAGGAGGCAGCAGGCAACCCCACACGACCCTTGCTATTGTTACCACATGCCTGCAGCACCGTCATTAAAGCAAAGGCAAGGCACACTGGTGCTCCTGCTGCAGTGCAGCGTGTTGCTTGGGGTCCAGAGTACCGCCAGAGATGCAATAAAACCTGCTCAGAGCTACAGCAAAGGATGAAAATCCCTTCAAACTGGGGCAAACGTGATGCACTGTGCAGTAATGAGCAGAGAACACATTAAGGCAGTCACCTGTGGGCAGCCCTGTTGTAAATGGTAGCGCCTCAGAGCCAACTTAAAACTGAGCAGCACAGAAGACCTGCAGCAGCTTTAGGACATCCAGGCTTAAAATGACCCACCTAGACCCTTGGAAAGCCATGGGCACGCAGAACAGACGTTTCAGTGGGGTCTAAGCTGTCTTAAGACAGGCTCTCATTAACAGCTGCGTTGGTGAGAAACATCCTAGAAAACCAGATTCGGCTGAGTTTCCAAAACACAGATATTTTGCTGCTCAGTCTGGGCAGGCTGAATAGCTCCCTGCTTAGGGCAGAGGGGAAGAAGGAGCGATGGTCCTGCACCAGCAGGAGCAAGCCTCCTTCGCTGGTGCTCAACAAGCCCGAGGAGCACAGGGGAATAAAATCCTCTCTGCATCTCTGACGACAAGAGGAAACAGCTCTCGCATTATCCTTGTGCAGATAAATACTTGAAAGCAACCATAAAGAAAACTCAGCCATGCGTCCCCTGCTGCCTTAAAGGCAGAGCCACGTCGGTACAGCAGGAGCCTCGCTCACACAGCAGCACAAGGAGGTCAAAGGCACCAAGTTCACAGGCACCGGGATCTATTGATTTTTATGGAGCAATGCTATTTTATACAGATAGCTGTTTATTTTAAAGCCATCAAAGGAGGCATTTTCACTACAAGGTGGGGATATCAGTGTCACAGGTCATTAGGTTTGTTTTCAAAGGGGAGATGAGGGCATGGCTGAGCCACCTCACTTACTCAAAGGGAAGCCCCAGGGCTACACCAGCAGAAGCATAACTGGTTGCAAAGTTACCCCACAGATCGAGTTGTTGCCTTGAGTTATTGATCAGTCTTTTCCTTCCGTTTGGGAAGCAGGGGACAACATAACCCTGTCTCAGAGCACCTCGTTAACTCAGGCACTACAGATCCACTCCCCACAGAGGTGATGTGAGAGCAAAGGCACGAGTGTGAAATCTGTCGGACAGCCCAACAAGCTGCAGGCAGGGAGCATGTGCTCGGGGCTCCTCTGCACTCTGTGGAGGGCACACCTCTGACCGCAGTGAAGCCACACGTAGCTAACGCTGCTGCGAGCAAGCAAAGGATGAGGTTGGCTGCAGCATTCAGAGGTTGTTCCTTTCCTCGAGCAACATTTCCAAATGCCTCCTGAAAGCTCTCCCAGGTCCTTCAGGTGCTGGAGGGACATGGACAGACATGGTCTCCTGGCACACCTGTCCTACCAACAGCAAATCTGACATAGCACAGGAAAAGAAGACAAAAAAACCTTTGTGCATCCCAAAACTAAGGAGTTACATATACTTTGTCTGTCCAGAAAGACACATAGCTATAATCAGACTCTTCTACATACACCTTATCCCACTCATTTGGTGGGCACAAAGCAACCCGTTACGTACAGGGAATGACACAAAACCTGCTGTCACACAACCTGCATGGTACCGAGTGCTCACAGCACAGAAGCGATGACCACCACTTTCTCCCCTACCTTAGGGTGCAAGTTTCACCCAGCCCCCACAGCAGCAGCGACCTTTAGAACTATTCAAGCTTCAAGAAAGTCCAAAGTCTCCTCTGGGACTGGATTCGCTCTGGGCTAGGCACTGTAAAACTGCAGGGGACTTTTTCCCATTTTTTTGTGTTCTTAGTAGAAGGTGCCTGGGCTCGTTAGCAGGGAATGGGAGTGCAGTTTGTGCACGGATAAGCAACAGGGCTCAGCACAGAGCGGGGCTAAATAACAAGTTGTGTTTCCTTAATTTCTGCACAGAACTGCAGGAAGCGTGCAAACCCCAACAGCAAGTCTCTGCCCTCACCCCTTCAGCAACATCGTGCTGCGAAAACTGCAAGCAGGGCACGGGCAAAGCTGGTTGACACACAAACAGACCACACTATTTCCAATATCTAAAATGGTTCCCAATGTGCTTCAGGGCAGTAAACCACTCCTCACATCCTTAGCTGGTTACTGATTACCAGCGCCGATATCACTGCCACAGACAACGCCCAGGCTGCGAAGATGCTCGTCCCCGGGAGAGGAACATTTCCCCGTCCCACTTGATACGGGGCACCAGTCTGCTCTGTGCTGGCCCAGCTCCGTGGTGATAGTCCCAAGTAGGAAATGCCAGAAGATATTACTGCCTTCTGCTTTGATGTGCCTCAGTCAAAGGGAGATTTATCAAGCATGGTCAGGGCGGCTTTCCCGCCCCTGCATTTCTCCATTTGCCTTTACAGCCCCACCCGTCCTCTCCACCCTCTTTCTGCCCCATCTCTCCACGACACAAAGACACAACAGCATCAGCTTTCTCTTGGGTGTGCCGGGGAACCCGCCTGCTCTCCTGGCTGGCTGGAAATCACCAAGAGGAGCTTCTTGGGGAAAAGGAGGTGGGAAAACTCTGAGGGGATGATGCAAATTGGGACAGCTCTTTCTGAGGGGACACCACAGCCTCCAGATTTCTTTTCTTTCCGCTTTTCCCTTCTCACAGCTGTAAGGAAATGGTACCACTGAAGAGGGATGCAAAGCAGCAGCCAAGACAAGAAGGAATCTCCCCTCTCTCAGCACCTGGACCCCTCACTAGCACAGTGTATCATCCTGGGCACGCATCACTGCAGCCGGGCAGCAGACACCACGGCCACACGCAGGACACCACAGCCACCGTACAGATTCTGCTGTCAAATAAAGAACAGGACTCTTACTGCCTTGCAAAAGTATTTCAGTGTTTCCTGAGTGAGTCTCAAACACACAACTTAGTGGAAAGCTTTTCTTGCCTGAGGAGCACCGGGAGCCTTATGAATAAAACACCTCCAGGAAGGTCTTTGCAGACGATGACCCACACTCTGTCCTACCAGTCCTCCTCCACTACAGCAAACTTTTCCGAGGCTTTGCTCAGAGAAGAACAAAATTAAAACAAGCACATTGCTGCCCTTGATCTCACTAAAAAGTTTCAGGTTTCTACAAACAGCCTCAGCAAGCTTTACAGTTCCTGACATATTGCTCCCAGAAACGTGGTGCCACCAAACATGCCCCGTCTATGACACTTATTTTCCTACCACACCTCCACCTGAGAGGGGCCAGACCTGCCCACAGTGCCGAGCACCCAGACTCTTTTGCTCTCGCTTCTCTCTCCGTCCTTCCCCTTTCTCTGCTCCTGACTCCACCACCAGCAGCAGGAAGCAGCACAAGACAACCCAAACCAGACCCCACGAGCCAAAGCCGCAGACCAGCAACACTTCGCTAGGCTTCAGATCTGAGTTTAAAGAAACCCCGTTAACACTTCCACTTCCAGAGGTGTGGTAGAAATTACATGGATGCAACATTCTTAAATTTCAGCAAAAGCGGTGAATTTAATGCACTGTAAGCTTATATATTTTATTTTAGGAAGATTTTTATACAATTTCCTTTGAATATGTCGCACTTTGTAGTATTGAGGCTCAGTTATTTATTTCATTCACTGGAGCAGAGACATAAAACTCTGGAAATACAACACACTGATAGCATTTCATGTATTTTTAAGACTGCTTCAAGAAAATGACTGCAAACAAACCACAACAAGTAAACTCTGCATCCCTATGAAGCGTTCAGTCTTAAGGGTCTCAAGACAGAGGGTCCTCACACCATGCAAGGCTGGCCTCTAATTGAGAACAACTGTATGGATGTGAAAGCATTTGTGAACCTTTAAAGCCAGAGCATGGAAATAAAGGCCATTCCTCATTTAAAATGGCTGAACTGCTTTTCCTCAAACCCACATGCATGAAGCTGCTTTCAAAAGGAAACCATCTGGAAGAGCGCAGCTCGATGCATGAAGTTTCAGCAAGTTATAAGCAACTGTAAGTGCCAGGGATGGAGCAAACACAAAATGAAAAACACTTCAGCAACCTTAACCACTCCCGCCAGAGCCCAGCTCCAAAGATATTTAACTCATGCACAGCCCTCGGAGCACGAGTATTCCCATGGAAGCCAATACTTTAAATTATTCCCTGACCTAAGTACAGTCCTGAACTGGGGCCAGAAAATAAAACTGCCAGCGTTTGGGCCTTCTCTCACTGCTATCAATAAGGATGTTCCCTTACTCCTAGAGCCTCCTTTTCTGGTTAGCATCGTGGTTTCTCCTGTTGCAGTCCTGCTTCCCATGTCCCTACAGCTCACCGTGCCATTGCAGAGGTCTGGGCAGGGCTGTCCCCCCAGCCAGACCCCAAAACCAGCTGCTGACCCCTACCAGCTAGGGAGAGCACCCACCCAGCCACACTGCGCCCACACAGACCCTCCAACGCTGCTGGGTAGGACAGACAGGGAGGAGGTAAATGGCAAATCCAGCAGGGTGACGGAGGAGATGTTGCCTTCCCCCTCGTATTCCTTGCAATAGTTTGTGTGCTGAAGGAGGTGCTGTGCTCAAGACCCAAGCTAGCAGCGGTTTATAGCTGCACAAATGGAAAACAAGAAATACCAGGGAAAGGAGGGAAGAGCAAACAGAGAACTCCCAGATTAGGGCTGTTAGAAAAGGGCTTCCTTTACTAATGGGATTGCAAAAATGCTGGGAAGCTCCAAACGAGAGCTGAACCACTTCGTGCAGGCGTTACTGCAGGCATTTCATAGACTGCTGCATGCATGTCACTGAAAACACACAGCGCTGCTGCTTACGCACATGTCAACCCAAAAAGAGGAATGGTGGAAAGGTGCAAACTCTGTCCAAGAATTTCTTTTGTTCAGAAAGACACCCTAGTTTCTGTCTTCTAATAAAAGACTGCATTGAACCATGGTTGCTCTACACATTTGCCTGCATCTGCTCCTTTCACCGTCTCCCATGGGCTGTTGTGTTTTTTCTCAGACTCCCTTTCCTGAAAAACAATGAAGTTGAGTTTCCTTAATAGAAGTTGAGTTCCTGTCTGTCCGTCTATCTCGTCCTCCTTTCCCACACCTGTGCAAATCAGAAGAGTCCCTCAAATATAACCATCACAGCCAGCCTACTGGTCTGGCAGCCGTGACTGGCATCGCCGAGTGGTGCTGGCCGCAGCTGGGTTTACGTGGATGCCCAGGGTGCTTGCACCAATGCCCAAGGCACCCCGTGCCAGCAGCCCCGTGTTTCTTCCCAGCTAACATTCCCCCAGAGCATTTCCTTTCTACAGCCAAAGTCTCAACTTCCTGAGTCTTAGCAAACGTTTCCCAAACTGAGTCTTTGCAATCATTTCTTTCAGAGCTGAGCCCGGGTGACAAACCTCAGGCTGCCGAGACACCATTGCTCAGAGGATATTTCACATTACTCAGCCGGGCAGCATCCTGGGTGATTTGGACAGGAAAGGTGAGTACATGGTGCAAGACGGTTTGTTCTTTATTTCACAGTCTCCCTGTCCTCAGCCTTCTTTCTACAATAGCAGCTAAGTGTGAATTTGTTTAAAAGTGCATTCTTGCCGTGCCCCTTGGCTGTGATGCTCGCACAGCACCAACAGATCCTGGGGGGGTTCCCATCCCCCCATACCAGACGGGCTGCATCGCCCGCTGACCGGCTCCTCTCACAGCCAGCCCCACAGCCAGACCAGTGCTGCTTTGAAAAAAAGGTCACAAACTGGTATTTTGTAATTCTGTGATAGAGCTAGTGCTGAGTCAACCCCACTCAGACTCGAGGTCACCTTGCAAGGAACCAGGCACCAGCTTGGGGTCCCCAGCATCGTGGCTAATTCACTAAAGCCAGACTCGTATCAATTACTATTTTGTAACTTTTCTTTCATGCCTTCCTCACTCTTGGCTCTCGGTGGGGCCAGGATTTAATTCTTTGGCACTGAAAAGATCTCCAAGCCAGAGCAGGGGGTTGCCAAGGCAGTTAGTACAATAGCAGGGCTTACATGCTAATGAGTCCGTGGTAAAGACTGGGATCCATCATCAGGCATCAGCGATTTAAACAAATTCCAGAAGAAATTCCATCTTCCAACAAAGAAATAAACTTTTTCCCCAAAGGATTCACAACCACTCAACCACTGAAGAGCTGCAGTAGTGCAGAAGGAGCCTGGAGTGAAATTCAAGCTGAAATAATCATAAGCCATCTAATTGGTATTATCCAAGCTGAAAAGTAATGCAAGTAAGCAAGCACAAATAAGCAATGCTGGATTTCTTTTTAATCTGCTTGGTTTTAAACATGCAAAGTCTTACATATCACACTTCTACATCTATATAGGTAAATAAGTATTTTTCACGTTATTTTGAGTTTTATAGGATTGTAAAACCGAATGGCATTGCAATAGGGCACTGAAATAAGCTAATCATCTTCTGCAGCTATGGAAATTAAGAAGAAAACAAAAATGTGTATATATTTTCTTCTCCACGGATGAAATAACTGTACTGTGATCATTTTTGTCTCCAGAGAAAAAATCATTGGGTTGCATTTTGTGGTTTTCTAAATAACAGGAGGGATATTCAGATGCTCAGTGTACAATGTGTGCCAGCTGGCCCCAGAGCTAGCTTGAATATACAGACACCTGTGAGAATTTAGGTAAGAGTTGATAAGGAAGTCTTTATAATGCTAATGCTTGGCTAAACTGAAAAAAGCTTCCCTCCTCATTTCTATTTCCTGTTCACCATTCTCTAAGCAGACCCAACCCCATTCTCACCAAGGTTTGTCATCTCTGGATGTATGCATATCCTTAGAGAGCTGTGCTAACCATTTTTTATGCGTTTAAGATACCTTATGTAGAAGACAAATTGCATCAGGCAAGGGATGCTGAGTAGGAAGTAGAAGAAATAGAGACCTTTTTTTCTCCAAAGCTAGGCAGATGGGAGTGACAGATTACAGGAACCACAAGTGCCAAGCGAGGCACACGCTGCTCTGCAGCCGAGACTCCGCGAAGCTGGCAGGGAGCTCTGGGCCCCTGGCTGCACCCAGTGCTTGCCTGGCAGACAGAAGTTTCGAGGTACCACTTCAAGACGTTGTGATATTTACAGCTCTGTGCCACGGGGAGCGAAGGCTGGTGCACTCCTGGCCTCTGCGGCTCATGCTAGGTGCCGTATGCCACCTTGTCCCTCCTCAGAGCTTGCTGTGTGCTCCTCTTTCATCGCTCCCCCAGCGCTCTAGCTGTGTGCCATTCCCAATTTAGCGGTAGACCTGGATGATGAGTGGCTTTGTTTCTTCTGACTAATACAGTGCCAGGATGAAAACAAACCAGTTGCCTTTAAAATGTTCTCAGACCCATTTCAGAGAGCTATTATCCCCGTTTAAGAGGCGACAAAACTGAAGCGCACAGATATTAAGCAACACGCTCACCTCGTGTGTTTTGCCAAGAGAAGACCAGAGCCCATTACTCAAACTGACGAGCGTATTTCCCACCCTCTGTATCCTGCTGTCAGCTGGCCTTGGCAATGTGGAGCAACATTTTCTCACATGTGATTTTGCTCTTTACTTTCTTTTTTCCTTTTTTTTTTTTTTTTTTTTTTTTACTACCATAATCATTTACTTGAAGTGTTTGTTCTTAATTACAGTAAACATTTTTCCATTTCTGTACAGATGGGAAATGCACTGGAATAGAACTGGATGGTTTAAGTTTATCATCTGCTCATCTCTTGATAGAGATCAGTATAGATTAGAGGTAAGTCTGTTTATCCGTATTCATTTTCGAAAACCGAAATGATATGCAACAGATTTATAATTAAGCAGAAGTGATGATGTTGTACAGCTTAGCTAAATGGATTTGCCACCTTAGATTAGAGAGGAAGCCATAAAAACAGACCAGATGTTACATTTTTTCCCTCTGTGCTGAAATTTGCATGAAAATCCGACATCCTAAATAAAATCTGAGGTCGAAGTTTTCAAGCCTGGGGATCCAATATTAGTCTTCTACAACCGGGCTGGGTACCCGAATAAGATGGCTTCATCTGCAGGGGGATGAACAGCCCCAGCGAGGAGTGAAATCGGAGTGAAATTTACCTAGGGATTTAGGTGCCCACACACTGCGGCAGCTTCAGGTTTCTCAGCCTGTTGCACTCCCAAGTTTCTCTTGTGGCTGCTGCCTCGCTGCCCTGCCGTGCGCACGTCTGCTGTGAATAAAACCAGCTGCGCCTCAGCACTGCGAGGCCACTCTTACAAGTGATCCTGCCCGGGGCTGCTCTGCCAAATTTTGCGAGCCCTCCCGGTGCCTCAGCACACACGGCCTCCCTTACTATACACGGAGAAGTCCCGGCAGAGCTTGGCGCTCCTGCATACCCCCGAGCAGCGGGCTGCCAGCCGTGAGCTTTGCTCTCCTAACCCCGTCCTGCCTGAACCGACGCGGGGATCGGAGCTCCCACGGCTTTGTGGAAACACTTGGCTGAAAGCAGGAATCAGCCTACGGCGTATAAAAGCTGGAGGCAGTGCATTAGACAATACGAAATACCCAAAACTCAAAGACGTTGACCAAAAACTCAGTGTTGGAGGCTGATGCCAGCTTGGCTGGCCAACACTTCACCCTGTTCGCTTGGCGAGGCCAGACACAAGTCGTGACCCCACACCTCTCATCTCCCATCCGGCAGAGCTGGGCTTTGCAGGTGAACTCTTGTCCTGGCGGGTGTCTTACCACTGTCTTTGGTGGAGCCGGGGTTTCACAATGCCTCATATTCCATTCATGGTGAAATCACCCTGGGTATTCATGAGGCAGAGACACCAGCCATAGCCCTCACATCCTGGAAAAGGATGGGCTTGGTAAGGGCCTATTAAAGCCAACATTACCCAACTGCTCCTGGGGGAAGATGTTTTCTCCTGTTATTAGGCACAGTGATTAAGTATCCTGGGTGACTCACAGACCTTATGCAGCCCATCAACAGCAAAAGCCATTGGAGGCTAGGTAAATGCCCTTAAAATGTGTTCTTTAACACACATAGCTCACAGTATTTTGAGCATCAGTAGCTGTGATGTGAATCATCTTAGTGCACCGAAACTTTGCTTGGTGATAGTTGGGTTTTTACACGAACAGAATGCCTAACAGCTCTTAGGAACTACACGATGGCCCCAATCAAGCAATGAGCATTGATGTTGATTAAGAGATGTTGTGTTTTTTGTTTTTTGTTTTACTTAATGCATTCAGCTTCCAGCAGCCTGGCTTTACAGTGTGCACACGCAGCACTTCCTTGGCGCAGCCAATAGTATGTAACACAGGAAAAACCTTCTGACGTGTATATGCCAAATTATTATTTTTAGAATTAAAGGGAGATAATTATTTCATAATTCTTAGTCTTTTTAATTTCCAATTAGCTCTCTGGAAAAAAAATATAATTTTGAGCCCTCCATACCACTTCATACTACTTATCATACTTTTATTGATGCAAGCACTTTAAAGTAAGAAAAATTTTCTTCTAAGTAATAGTTTCAGAATAAGCAGGGGTTTAAAAGGAATGTAGCTGCTCACAGTATGCTGTGATTTAAAAAAAAAAAAAAAAAAGCCTAAATACATCATTAACATCTCTAGGCAGCTAAATATTTTTTTTTTTTAAACCTGTCCTTTAGTCACTTGGATTGATTAATGGCACATTTCTTGTTGTGAATAATTCAATGCCTTGGAACAGTATTCCAATCACAGCTGATTATAAATTAACACTCATTTTAACCGATGCAGGTAATCATGCCAATGCCACAGCAAATAAATACATTACCGAGCGTTACATATGGATGCTGCAACGTAAACAAGAAGCTGAGAACTCCATTATCTGCCGGTGCATCCCTATCAAGTCATTTCTAAATATTTCATCATTGTCTAGGCTGCATTCAGATTGCACAGAATAACTCGCTACCGATAAAAAGCAGATGCAACTGTTTTCTTAGGTATAATTAGCAACAAGAAGGAGTAAGATTTCCTTTGTTACCCCTTTAAACACTTGCTCAGGATACTGGAAAACAAAGCACCTTCCCTGGCCTCCCATGACAGGCCATACTTCCCTTCTAACAAGTAAAGAAGTTTGGCTGAAGGAAAAGAATAACAAAGGACTGATAAATAACTTCGTGGTTTTATATCAGATCAAAGTAAAACGTGGCTGCTCACGGCACTGTGCACAACAAACCTTTGCCCTGGCGTTGTGAATGGCAGAGCTAGAGACCTTTTGATATTTCTTGCCTTCTGACCCCCCTCCCAGGATTCATCCTCATGTTTTGTGCATTGCCAGAGTCCCCGAGTAAGGAACCACACGCTGGCACGCTCGGTCCCGCTCCTCAGAGCACTGCCTGCCTGCCTTTTTTGAACGTACTCCTCCGGCCTTTGTTCGCTGACTGCAGAGAGCTGCTGTGGGGCTCTGCAAGATTTTGCTGCTCCTTCCTTTGTAGCCTTTTAACCAGCAGGCTTTTGCTGCACAAATGAGATACACACCTTTCAGAGCAGAGCTACAAACAGCTCTTGAGCTTTTCCAATTCCTGCTCACCATTCACGCAAATTAATGCAAAATATAGAATAAATATAGACTCACACTGTTGGGCTAAAATACTTTTGTATATATAACAGATTCTGGCACTTTTTTTTTTTTTTCCTTTCCAATGTCACATTAAAGGCTTTATTTTATTAGACTTGTTATACTCCAGTATAAAACTCTCACACATCATTTCAGGGTCTCCTGTTATTTCAGAGTGAAAGGAGAAATAACAGGAGCACTAATTAGGAAAGTTCCTTCTGAAATGAAAGCAAAGTCCTACCTACGTCCCTTGTCTGCAATCATGGACGCCACATTAAACTACTCCATAATTCAAGTTTTCCTCTACACATCCCCACTTCATTTTCAGCCCAAACATGAGGCTTTTTGCAATCAAAAGTAATCCAGAAAAGGCACTCCTGGTTATATGTGGAAGTTGATCTCAGCCATTAAAAAAAAATATATATATAGCAACTCTGTGGAGAGGAAAAACACAGACATTAAAATAGCCCCGACATATTACGTGATGCATTTTCATTGTATTTATGTTTCTTTCTAATAGACGTGACTTTTTACTGGGAAATGAGAGGGTGCCTAGGATTTTGAGTAGATTATTCAATGCTCAGTTCTGCTCCACACGAAAAGCAAGTAATATTTTCTAGCCATAGCAAACGTGGGTAATGTTGATCAACGATAACAGCTGAGCCTGCTTCTCCAGAAGATGCAGGTTATGAATGCCATCCTGAATGAAAACGTACATTTTGCTGTACAAACCAAGTGGATTTGGAAATACCAAAAACAAAAAACACACAACCAACCAAAACAACAATAACAACAAACCCAACTTCCACTAGTTAATTTTGAAATATAGCCTTCCATAAAAGGACTGCATATTAGTCTCCAATTTGTCTCCAGAAATAAAGCCTTGGTCTTTAAACAGCTGTGGTCCAGCCTAAGCCTCTTCATAATCATTAGGCAGGGTAATGTATATTTATTAATTCTCACCTTCCCTCTCCCTTATTTTTGATTGTCAGGCTTAGTCAGGCATAAAAATGAAGCTTTTGTGCAGTCAGAACATCTCATGATTTTTCATGTAGCACTTCATTTTGTTTGTCTCTGGGAAGGGATTGAGAAGTTAGGGTTTGTTGAGATAACAGGACGTTTCACTCAGCCATCACATTCTGACATTTGATAAGTAATTAACTAAAGGAAAGAACAGCTGTTAAGAGAATGCTTAGTGACAGCATGTAGATGATTTAAGGCCAATTCATGAACCATATAAGCCCCATTTAAATCTAAAATGTCACGAGATGCACTGCAAAAAAAATTGTATGATGCCTTTCCTTTGCGGTATAACAAAGGATTAGCCTGCATCAGCTTGGATGTCTGAATGTGCCATCAAATACTCCTGTCATCTAGTATGGGAAGCTTAGACTCCCGTATCCTAAAGCCTGCTTTAAAATCTTATGGCAAATAATAAATACAAACTACAATGAATTATTACAAAAGAAGGCAGCTTACTGGCCCTCTTAAACTTCAGCAGCATTTTGCCTAGCTCTCATGTTGCAGTTTTTCTCATGGCAGTGATTTAGACTAAGAGATCAGATTGATGAGTGGGTACGTTTGAAATAAAAATGAGTGGTAAGCTAAGCACAGCACTATGGACAAGGTAGAGAAGAGCTAAAATGAAAGAGCAGCATGGGAAAAGCAAGGCAGAGGTGGCAGATGAGAAAGGACAGCGAGTTTATGAATGAAATGCATTCTGAAAAGCCAGGCCTACAAGACAGAGCAGCTCCAGCAGATCCCACGTACGCACAGTTCCTGCTGCTTGCACGGCAGAGAAACCGCGCTGATAGCGGCCTCTTGCCATTCAAAGACTACCCATAAAAGCGGTTTATTAGTTTTCATAGAACGGATAGGAAATAAGCAATTTTGCTTCTCTAAAGATACCTTCCTGAGGATCTTCTTACCTAGATCGTCTCCCCAGTACTTAGAATGATATTAATAGATTTCTCTTAGCTCTTCAAGAATTTTGACCTCAGATGGCTGCGGTAGTAGGTAGAGGATGTGCCAGCCGACAAACCAGCCAGCACACCCTGACATAACCAATTCTGCCACTCTCCTTCTGCGACTGCCTCACCGAGAGGCTTGTTATTCTTCCAGGACAAGGATTCAACTGCAGGTGATTAATAATAGCTACCACGTGTGCTTCGAAAGAGAA